TATTTTTGGGAATTTTAAATTTATCAATACTCAATAATTTTTAAAATAATTGGGAAAAACGAAAATAAATAAATGGAACATTTTTAAAATTGGTCGGTAACATTGGTTAGATTGTCTTTGATTGGATCGTATAACTTTTATTAATTTTAGATTTTTTTCCAAAAATATATAATACTTTAATAACTGTTCTTATTTTTATCGCATTTTCATGTATTTATTACATTCATGTTGCATGMAAATTCAATATTAGAAGCAGATTCGATTGTCGGACTCAAATACATGCGTGAAATGTACGAACAAATCTTTGTCCAGCTAGTCCATCAAAGGGCAGGTGTGCATAAACACAAAACTACTGCAAACACCAAATGGAAATCTAACAGTTCACAACGAAATGCACTGTTCACGGTGGTCAACAAATCGTCCGTAGTCGGTGCGTCTTTTAAATATACACGGTCGGTATATCAAACGACGTGAAGGGTGCAGTCACGTGCTGTATCGAGTCCTGCGACTTCCGGGGATCGGTGGTCGACGACTCAATCGCATGTGCGGCGATATGTACAACGTACTCCACGGTTGTACTTTGCGGACGGCACGGGAGCTCTGATTTCCTACATCTACATCATGTTTGGCGACAAAAAACTGCAGTTTGACAATACGCTGGCGGCTGGCCACTATTACACCATTTACGACGGTGACTGCGTGGCGTATGCGGCCACTATACTGCGGACGACTGCGCGACGTGCCTGTGGAACAACGGAGGCTACAAGCATATCACTTGAAATGATGTCCGACAAGCAACCCGTGTACATGGTCATATCGAATCTACGATAAGCGGAGCGCGGACGGTGACAAGAAATTTCTGTTCGCCGATGACGAGTGACAACAACGGTGCGCCGAGATCAGCATCCTGTCGGTGATGCGGCCGCTGTACGCGCCGCGGACAGGCAGCGGAACAACTACAATAACGGRACCACCGGATGTTGTAGTCTGAGAACAGAACTGATGTAACGGCGGCCGTGGCCGGACGACGCAGCGAAGACCCGGTGACGTACGATGGCCGAACGGTAACTGCTTCTTCTCTTCTCCGGTCGAAGTTTTAAACGCGTTTTCGTCGTCGTCGGCACGGTTAAGTTCACGTTTAGATCTTCAGAGACGATCGGTTTCGTCGATCCCGAGACAAAGAGCGTGCCTCCGATCTGCGRGTCAATTTCCAACGGCATCACGTCGACGGTGCGCGGTTGAATACTGGATAAGTATCGGTAATAACGCCGTACACGGTACACGTATCTGTCGTAGCGAGGATTACCATTAGTACTCTTTTAAGAGTAAATGTTCTCTTGTGAGCTCTTAAAATGTTTGTACTCTCACTTTTTTATATTGACATGGCAACAACGTACTCTTTTTTCCTATGTATTTCTATTTAATTCCAAAAGCATTAAGAAATTTTTGTACTTTTATCGATGTTGAGTACAAAAAACTTTTATTTCATTCAAAAA